TCTCTGTTTTTACTGTGTTACTTTGCCTCTGAGTCTGACAGTGTGTCCTCCAATTTTCTCTTCTCTGTCTCTGTTTTTACTGTGTTACTTTGCCTCTGAGTCTGACAGTGTGTCCTCCAATTTTCTCTTCTCTGTCTCTGTTTTTACTGTGTTACTTTGCCTCTGAGTCTGACAATGTGTCCTCCAATTTTCTCTTCTCTGTCTCTGTTTTTACTGTGTTACTTTGCCTCTGAGTCTGACAGTGTGTCCTCCAATTTTCTCTTCTCTGTCTCTGTTTTTACTGTGTTACTTTGCCTCTGAGTCTGACAGTGTGTCCTCCAATTTTCTCTTCTCTGTCTCTGTTTTTACTGTGTTACTTTGCCTCTGAGTCTGACAGTGTGTCCTCCAATTTTCTCTTCTTTGTTGGTTGTTGTCCGAAGAAGGAACCAATTGTGTTCTGAGACATGATGAAAGACTGTACATGAATGATGAATATGATATTAATATGGAAACATTGTGAAGTAGTGTAAATTCATTTTTTTATTTCATGGCCCTTGGGGTAGACCGTAGCAGCAATAGGGTATTAGAAATTTGCAAGGGAAATTGTAAAAAAAATCTTTTTAAAAGTAACAGAGCCACATTTAATTTTATAAAAATGGAAACGTACTTAAGATGTTTTGACGTTTTTCAATTATGGACCCCGGGGAAGGGTTAAATGTTTTTATCAGATTTTTACATAGTGCATGTGTACCAAGAAAAACCTTTAAAAACTAACCTAGGTTTCTGAAGCCATTTAGATTAACACTTTTCTGCTAGATACATATAACATTTCGATATTCCAAAATACCTACTCCGTTCTTTAACACACACTGAAAGAAAATAGTCAGACAAACGGAGAGGAAAACCTTTTGTTCCTTTTGGTTTAAAAGCAATTAGCGAGAAGACATATTGGATTTTTAACTGGTTTACCTACAATCAATGTAGTGTGTTCATTTTTTCAATTTTTTAACATTTAATATGAAATTTAAATTTAATCCCCCATGAATGGTGCTGCCGGAGAATTATATACATGTATAAAGCTTTAAGGATTTTTAAAACAAAATATACGTATAATACCTTGATGTTACAATGATTGAATGATTGGGCTCATATTGCATTATGTTTAATTCACGAAGTTTTTGTTCTGCTCAATTTATTTAATGGGCTTTAACCTCTTTTCCATTCCTTGTAGCCAAATTGTCCTCAAGGCATGTAGATAGGGGTCATTCAGTGTGGAAGCCTGAATGAGGCAGGGGAAGGAGGCATCTTCAATACCCACTTATAGGTCTAGACAAAGTCTTTGGAGAGGACAGCGGGTAGTACAAATATCGTTTCTGCTTGAACTTTCAGTAAGGCGTGATATTCTCGGCTATACATAATTAGCGTCTCTCAAATAGTGACCTAGATTCTCAATGGTTGCCAGATTAGCTCATCAATACTGAAATTTACACAGCTTTTCATTCACGGGTGAAATACACATGGAATAAAAATGGTTCAGACGTCAACGAGTGACGCAAAATTACATCGTTTCTTACAGTAAAGAGGTGTGGCTTGTGTCATCTCATTGCTTGTTAACAACAATATAAAGTTACTAATGTTATTAATTTCTTAACCAATGAGAATCTAGGTCACCACTTGAGAGACGCTAATTATGTATCGCCGAGATTGTCACGCCTTACTGAAAGTTCAAGCAGAAATGATATTTGTACTAAAACACCGAAAAAGTTAGATTCTAGATCTGTAAACCATCTGGGTTTTAATTCTTTATTTTTCAATCGTGTTTTAATCATTGTATTTATTTGAAAACTAATTACTTATCGACTTGTCGCCCGCGTGGCGCAGTGGTTAGAGCGTTCGCTCTAGAGTCGCGAATAAGGAGTTGATCCTTACGCTGCGGGTTCGAATCCTTCGGATGAGATCCTTAGGCGTATAAACCGAGGTCACGTGTCGCAGTAGTTGCTTGTACAAAAAAGATCACTCACTGTTCAATGGCTCTGAGTGCCGAGTATAGGTCAAATTTGCAGCTCTCCATCGGTGGTACCGTCTCCATATGAGTGAAAAAATCTCGAGAGGGACGTTAAACAATAAACAAACAAAAACTAATCGACTTTATACAAATCCGATCTTTGGCAGCACACAGGAATCACGGAGAGTTAATTTTTTAAATTATAGTTATGCATCGAAGCATTGTATTGGTATCCTTAAATCTCAAATGTTAGATTGTTGTAAATTCTAAAAATTCTGAAAGAGATAATATTCATAATCCGCCAAAAGAGGAAAATCTTAATGTCTTATTAGTGGTCACCTGAAACCAAACCAAATTCATCAGAATTCACTCCAATTGGTCCGGCCTTAATGAGGTAACAAAACTAGACCAATCACAAGTAAACAACTAGACAGTATTGGGCCTTTCAAGTAAACCCAAAAAACGAGGCAACATCATCTGCTCCCTTTCCGGAAAACTAGACCCTGAAAAGAACTAGACAACATAGGGCCTCCCGTATCAAGTATACTAGACAATATTTAACAAGACAATATTGGGCATCCCCTCTGAGGTGAATTAACCCGGAAAACGAGACAACATTGGGCCTTCTCTACCAGGTAATAAACCTAGGCCCATCAAAAGAAAAAAAACGGGTCTTTCTCCACCAGGTAATAAACTTTGACACGGAAAACAACAAGGTAGCACTGGTCCACCCTCTCAGATATAATAACCTAAGACCCGGAAAGACTGCAATAACAAGGACCAAATTCATACAACACAAAGAACTTCGGGGGAAAATTAAGATGGAAAGCAGGCAAGAGAACAAATCTTGTTGATTAGCAACACAGGAAATCAACGAAAAAAGTAGGAGACTACAGGAGATCTACACACAAATTAGTTGGAAAGAAGTTTGTATTTCCAAACGGAAATGCATATCGGAACTCATCTGTAGTAAAGCTGAGTTCATATGTTTTTTCCTTTTTTTCTTTTGTTTTTTCCCATAAAGTTATGATGTTACAATCTTCAAGGTAAGCCCATGTAGTTATACACTAAGTCTTGTATTTCTTGTCATTATGACCACATCAGAGGTTGCAATCTTATTTTGAAATCCCCCCCCCCCCACCAAAATCGACCATTTCCTTTCTTTTCTTTTTATTTATCCCCCCTCTCATTGGAGCTTGTCTATATATGAATATTATCTTATCATGCTTTTATTTTATAAAGGGTCCAGCTGAAAATAATCATATGAAATACGAACTCAATGTATTTAGTGCCAGGAGTCAACATTTTTTTTTAAACCATGCATTTTTTTAATTTTTCGAAATTAAATCCTATTATTTCAGAAATTCTATTATTTTAGAAGTGAGTTAATTACTCAGAATAACGAGCGACAGATATGTGGCAATATACCCTTATCACCCGCATATGGGGTAGATATCTCCCCGTTCATTCGATTCGCAAGAGCATGCTCCAAGTACGAAAAATTTCTAAAACGAGGCAAGCTATTGATGTTATTAAGTTGATGAAACAAGGATATGAACACTCTAGTTTAAAATCATCATTTCGTAAGTTCTATGGTCGATACTATTACCTTGTCGGCAAATACAATATCATTAAGTAGAATACTGACAGACGTTTTTCATACTAATTGTAAGGCCATTATTTAAACATGGATTTTTCTACGGATTTTTTTTGCGTTTGCTCGATCATAACAAGAAGCACATGGCGGGTGTGACCGATTGACAGGAGATGCTTACACCTCCATGGCACCTGATCCCAACTCTTCTGTGTTTGCTCTGATCGCGATTTGTATTGTTTCAATGATTTTTTTGAGGTTAAGCACTGTTCGTTTTCTCCATATTTCATATCCCGACATTTCTTCGAATTTTGTGAAGTGAAAATGGACCTTAAAGAATATATATTTTCAAAGAAATGTTTGCGCGAACTGAAAGTGAAATCTAATTGTTTCCTTTTCACGGTATTTAATGCCATGAATCTCATTTTTTAAAACTATACGTTTTTTTTAATTCAACAGCCCTACGAAAAAATATTATCTGATCATAACACTATTAAAGAAGTGAGTTAATTACCCAGAATAACGAACGACTTAGATGTCAGGATATTTCTTTTTAAAAGGTTTATGAAATGAAATTGGACCCCAAAGAATTATATTTTCGCAAGAAATGTTGGCGTTTTATGAATGTGAATTTCGTGATACTTTTAACAAACTTTTAACATTCCACTCAACAAAGGTGAATCCAATCTACTCTACCTTTACTGGATTCCTAAATTTCATAAAAGTCCTTACAAACGAGATACATTGCCGGATCCAGCAACTGCTCTACCAAACCCCTATCTTTACTCTTCACAAAAATTTTAACTGCTGTGAAGGAGAAACTTCAATAGTACGGTGTTAGAGCACATTCTAGAAGTTGTTTAAATCAAATGTTGACTTTCAAAAACTCCCAAAAACTTTTACTAGATAATTTAAAATCACAATGTTTTTCAAAAGTTGAGATCATCAAAACTTATGACTTTTCCACACTTTATACAACCATTCATCACAATAAATTAAAAACTAGGTTTAATTGCTTCTTCAATATAAATGGAATTCGGAAAATTAAGCATAACATACCATCTTTAGTCATGGAAGACTATTGTTTGTTTGGAATTTCAGTTTTCGACCCCGGAAGCCTATGCTGTTGAGATGCAACAATATTTAACGTTTATTTATCAGTTTTTTTTCTTTATATCATTATTTTTTTCTTTAAACTTTAACTAAAAATGGAAACAACTGATTTCGAAGTTTACCAAAATTAGTGATTTGCTCTGCTCCAGATTTTTATTGTTCTATTAGACTTTTGAGCTTGATTACTATTCTTATCTTGATATTTAATTTCAGTCCTTACTGAGAGTGTGACCTGTGGTGATATGGTAGAAGGATGTGAATTGGTCCAATTACAGCGATTTCTGAACCAAGTCAGCGTAAAAACCTGAAATGTTCCTGTTTGACGATCAGACTGTATGTAAACCAATAGATGTCAGAGAATTCAACTTCTATTTCATCTTCCACACAACCTCAACAATTCACAGCAGAATTCGGAGGTATTAAACGTAAAAGTTCAGTTCCGTATGATTTCCATTCATTACATATTCAATCATTGACCATTTTTCATTGAGTAGACCAGATAGTAGGTAGGTGAACATTTCAGGCAATTCTTATTTTTGTTCCCTATAACAGGAAGTGTGCTTCTTGTCATGATCGGTACACGAACAATACAATTTAGTCTGGTCACCTCAGATAATGACACAATTCACTTGATCTTTTCTTTATTTTGCAGCTTTTACTGAATGGTAACAAATAGAAACAAATCAAACAGATCAGATAATCAAAACACCAGACTCCTTACATGATATCAGTCCTAAAAACCTCAAGTTGTTACAAGACGATACTGACAGGACACAGAAAAATTAAATTGGGTTCAGATCTCAACTGCAGTATCTTTCCTGTGCTAGCAATAACGTGTTTGGTTTACTTTTGGGAATATCATACATGAAGGTTTAGATGAAGATTATGTCTTATTTTGGGGTAAACGATTGTCACATTTGGACTATCTTGACATGTTCAGGAAATTCAGTTTTTAGGATCTTCTAATTCCCTACCAAACGTGATTATCAAGTCCAATCATGATAAAACTTTTTAAAGAGTCACAAAAACTGTAGAAAAGAACCCTATGATTCGTCCATCTAAAATCAGAAGCCAAAAATAAATTGTAAAGCAAGACAAACACATCAGTAGAAAGAGGAGATGAGGAGCCTCGAGTCGTCAAAACTTTATATTTGATCGCTGGGATAAATTTGAAAACATTTCTGCGTTGTGTAGATTCACGTTTTATTTTTAAGTTATGTACCCTGGGGTTAGGATGGGGCTAAATTGGGAATCAAATTTTACAGAATGTCTGTATACAGGAAAATATCTTTGAAATGTCTTCTTCTACAGAACAGCAATGCCATATTAGTCATATTGACTATCATACTGTCATAAGTCATACATGTATTGAAACATCACTATGTATATTTCATCTTTAGATGAAAGGGCCTACATTCTAGATATCAAATTACGTATGGCTTTGTATGAATTATACATGCATGTATGTTTTAATTCTGCAAATAGGTCCTTCGAGGTAAGATTTATTGCTTGAATATAATATAGACAGTCAAAATTACTCTTATAAATTCATAAAATACTTTGCAAAATTATTTTGTTAAAAACATTCTGATTGTACACACAAATACTCTGAAGTTGATATTAAAAAGATGTTTGAGTTTCTGATTGACAATATCTATGTGGTTTTTGGAGACCAGATCTTCCAACAATCTTTTGGATTTCCATGGGTACCAATTGCGCCGCGTTATTAGCAGACCTGTTTTTATATTCATATGAAGCAGAATTTGTTCAAAATCTTGTACGTGAAAAGAAGAAAACACTTGCTGTGGCTTTCAGCTCGACTTTTAGATATATAGACGACGTATTATCAATTAACAATTGTTATTTCCATTCGTATGTCGATACGATATATCCTGGTGAGCTTGAAATGAAAGATACCACAGAGTCGACACATCTTTTCATATTTGGATATTTTATTAGAAAAAGACGTTAATGGTAATCTAACAACCAAGCTTTATGATAAACGTGATGACTTAATTAACTTTTCAATCGTCAATTTCCCTTACTTATGCAGCAATATACCTTCATCACCTGCATTCGGAGTTAATATCTCTCAGTTGATTCGATACGCAAGAGCATGCTTTAAGTATGAACAATTTTTAAAACGAGGTAAGTTATTGACAAACAAGTTGATGAAACAAGAATATCAGCAGTCTCGTTTAAAGTCATCATTTCGTAAGTTCTATGGTCGATACAATGACCTTGTCAGCAAATACAATCTATCATTAAGTCATATGCTGACTGACGTTTTACGTTTTTCATACTAATTGTTAGGCCATTATTTACACACTGAATTGTCGACGAATTTTTCCGTTATTACCCGATCATGACAAGGAGCACACGGCGGGTGTGAACTGTCGACAGGGGATGCTCACTTCTCCATGGCACCTGATCCAACCTCTGATGTTTTGGAGGATCGCGTTTGCTCTGCTCCAAAATTTGTATTGTTCAATGGACTTTTGAGCTTGAATACTGTTCGTTATCTCCATACATTTCATACTGCCGATAAATGTTTTCAACAACTGTGAACTAAGAATTATACATAGCCAACAGGAACAGTGAAGGGGGTTTTTGACAAAAAAATTGAATTGAAAAAGGTAATAATTCTGGTGTTATTGTGTTGACTGCATTGTGTTCTACTAATGAGAGAGAGTTTTATTCATGTAAAAGGTAATAATTCTGGTGGTAATTGTGTTGATTACATTGTGATCTACTAAAGAGAGTTTTTATCATGTAAAAGGTAATAATTCTGGTAGTTATTGTGTTGACTACATTGTGATCTACTAACGAGAGTTTTTATCATGTAAAAGATAATAATTCTGGTAGTTATTGTGTTGACTACATTGTGATCTACTAAAGAGAGTTTTTATCATGTAAAAGATAATAATTCTGGTAATTATTGTGTTGACTACATTGTGATCTACTAAAGAGAGTTTTTATCATGTAAAAGATAATAATTCTGGTAATTATTGTGTTGACTACATTGTGATCTACTAACGAGAGTTTTTATCATGTAAAAGATAATAATTCTGGTAGTTGTTGTGTTGACTACATTGTGATCTATTAATGAGAGTTTTTATCATGTAAAAGATAATAATTCTGGTAGTTATTGTGTTGACTACATTGTGATCTACTAACGAGAGTTTTTATCATGTAAAAGGTAATAATTCTGGTAATTATTGTGTTGACTACATTGTGATCTACTAACGAGAGTTTTTATCATGTAAAAGATAATAATTCTGGTAATTATTGTGTTGACTACATTGTGATCTACTAAAGAGAGTTTTATTCATGTAAAAGGTAATAATTCTGGTAATTATTGTGTTGACTGCATTGTGATCTACTAACGAGAGTTTTTATCATGTAAAAGATAATAATTCTGGTAGTTGTTGTGTTGACTACATTGTGATCTATTAATGAGAGTTTTTATCATGTAAAAGATAATAATTCTGGTAGTTATTGTGTTGACTACATTGTGATCTACTAACGAGAGTTTTTATCATGTAAAAGGTAATAATTCTGGTAATTATTGTGTTGACTACATTGTGATCTACTAACGAGAGTTTTTATCATGTAAAAGATAATAATTCTGGTAGTTATTGTGTTGACTACATTGTGATCTACTAAAGAGAGTTTTTATCATGTAAAAGGAAATAATTCTGGTAATTATTGTGTTGACTACATTGTGATCTACTAAAGAGAGTTTTTATCCTGTAAAAGAGAATAATTCTGGTAGTTATTGTGTTGACTACATTGTGATCTACTAAAGAGAGTTTTCATCATGTAAAAGGTAATAATTCTGGTAGTTATTGTGTTGACTACATTGTGACCTACTAAAGAGAGTTTTTATCATGTAAAAGATGAAGATAATGATAAATCTCGTGTGAAATTTCTTTTGATGGGATTTCATTACTTGTCACAAAGCTACAATGTCGATAAAGAAAACACCGAATTTGTCTTCCATCTTACCTATTTTGCAAACCATGGAAACGGATTTCTTTGTTTCTTTCATCTAAATCAGAAGCTAAAAAATGAATTGTAAACAAAGAGACAAACACATCGACAGAAAGAAGGAGATGGGGATGCTCGGGTTTTCAAAACTTTCTAATTGACCACTGGAATGTTTCGCCCGTAAAGGCAGCATTCGGGATATAGATTAAACTAAAAGGTCGCAAACGTTTTATCATTTTGCACATTAATTAGCATTATAGTTCATTCATATGCTATGCAAAATTAAATTTAAAGAAATATATGGATAAAAGAATGTAAGATTTAATAGAAAGTATATGACTTTGTTGTAACTCCAGCATGTATATATCAATTGTAAATAATTTCATTGAAAAATCATTGACATTAAACACGTGTATATTTACAAAAATAAGCGCTATCAATATTAAGTTGAAGAAAACGAAGGATGATCTAACTAAAAAAAAATCTTCAAACAGTACAAATCTGTAAACAGGGCAAACAGCCCCCGGAAATCCAGAGGTGGGATCAGGTGCCCAGTAGAAGTAGGCATACCCTGTCGACCAGAAACAATCGCCGCGAGCCCTATGAATTTATCAGGTAGACGGAATATCTAGTTGTCAAATTTCGTATAAAAGCTAATGATTAACAATTGGTATGAAACTCGTCAGTCAAATAACAACCCAATAATAGCAGACACTGTGGTGTCTTTTTTTTCGAGTTCACTGGGATATATCGAATCGATATATGAATTAATGGACGTACTGTAATTGTTGTTAATTGATATATCTGAATGTCGAGTTAAAGACCACAGCAAGTGTTTTTCTTCTTATTTAGAAGTTTTTTTTAAAATAAATCTGCTTCATAGGAATTTAAAACAGTTCGACTTCACAGATAAGCCAAGTTTCTGTTTTAGTTTTGTATCAGTTCATCATTCAGAAAATATTTTCTTACAGGTCTATAGTTGTGCACCGGAGCATGACCTTCGTGTTCCTTTGTTCCTTTGTATGAATGCTGTGTATTGAATTACTAATACGTATTTGATTGTTGTCTCAATTTTATTTCAATGTCTGAGAATATAGTTTTCGTGGAAATATGTTATTCGTGACCAAACGTTACCCTGCATACTATGTAGTAATTTTTACATAATGTCGATTCTAAGCAGTTTGAATTGAATTCCTTGAATTGTAAATTTAGTTTTAGCACATCTTTGATCTTATCCTGCTATGTGTCATGAGTATAAAGATAAAGCAAGTAACAACTACATCTGATTTTGGTAAGTCTGACTCATAAAGGAATTTGCTTTATACATTTTTTGCTTAATTTCATAAATTGCAGTAACTAATGTTAATCATATGTCTTACAGGTACTCAGAGTAATTGAAAAGATTTCAATAAATATATGTACATGATTATATACGCATTCTTTTCCAAAGCATGAACAACTCGGCTGTACAGTGGGACGTAGCTTATCTCTGAACGAAGAATGGCGACATTGCTCTGTAATGTCCCGTAAACAGTTTTTCTGCTAAATGACTTATTATTCAGTACTTTCTCTAAAAATCTGACAATTCAGTGTGAAAATAGTAGGGTATAAATTTATATAAAATACATCAGTCAACATTTGACTTAGCGATAGATTGTATTTGCGAACAAGGTCATTGTATCGACCGTACGATTTGCTAAATGTTGACTTTAAACAAGACTGTTGATATCTTTGTATCATCAACTTATTTGCCATCTCTTGCGTATCGAATCACGAGGGCCAAAAAATCCATATGCAGGTGATAATGGTACGTATATTGCTGCATAGATAAGGGAAGTGACGATCGATGGACAATTTGAAGTCATCATGTTTATCATAATGTTTTGTTATTTTGCCATTAATGTCTTTTTATAGTAAAAAATCCAAGTATCATACAGATGTGTCTGACTTCCTGTTTTATTTTAAGATCAAAGGGATATATCGAGTCAACATAGAAATAAAAATGAATATTGTTTGTTGATAAACCCTCCTGGATGTATCTAAATGTCGATCGAAGGTTACAACAAGAAACGTCTTTTAATATAGAAACTTTGAATAAATTCTGCTTCATATGAATAAAAAATAGGTCTGCTAATAACGAGGCGCAATTATTACCCATAGAAATTCCAACAGATTGCTGGAAGACTTGATCTTCAAAAACTACAAAGATATTTTCAATTAAAGATTCAAGCATCTTTTTGATAACAACACGGAGAAGGTCTATGTTTGAGATGTCCTACATGTAAATCTAGGCAATGTAGAGTTTATCTATATAATTATGGTAATTAAAAAGTAATGAATATTTGTAAGAAATGCAAGATGTAGCTTTTGTGATAAAGAATTTTACTTTTATTTTCTGCGTTAATTCCTTGCTGACAAATTTAAACTTAAGGAACAGACGGATTACCTCAGCAGTATTCCGTAAAACGCGGCGGTTTAAAAACCGTGTGATTAGGATCAACTGTCATGATTGAAGCTTTTAACTGACTTTGCACTGAAATAGGCAAAGTAAAGAAAGATTGTACACGACACTTTTTTGTGCGATGAAATGTTTTTAAATGTCGATACAGATCGTTGCACCCTCAAAAATTAAATCTGACTATTTAGGTTATTATTGTATTATTATTATTGTGTATACTTTAAAATAATTTAAATTCTAAGAATCTTTTTTTCTCGGAAATATAAAAAAAACTGTTAATTGCGCTACTTTACCCCGTGTATGGTCTAGGCACCCTGATTTGGCTGAAATATAAACCATGCAATGTCAAATCTAAGGAACCTGATTTCGAAACATTCTAACTAATAATGTTCTATGATGTGTTCAAGGGATATATATATATATAGCCTTAAGCCAGTAACAATTGCATCTGAGTTTTGGTAAGTCTGTCCCAAATATGTAAATTGTTCATTATACCCCCGCTCCGAAGGAGAGGGGGGTATACTGTTTTACCCTTGTGTGTCTGTCTATCTGTCTGTCAATCCGTCTGTCTGTCTAGATGTCTGTTTGTCCGTCTGTCTGTGTGTCTGTCAGTAACAAATTTTGGTCGCAGTTTTCTCAGCAACTACTCATCGCAGATGCTTCAAATTTTAGCACACCCTTTGTTTAGGCATGCCATATGGTGGGAATCATTTTTGTACGAATCCGATGTCAACTTCCATGCGTCTGTCCATAACTGAACTTTTGTATTCACATCAGAGTGGGGGTATTATTAGTGAGCATTGGCTCACAGACTTCTTGTTTTGTTACATTTTACACCCTCGAATGACGCTGAAAATCTCCAGGTGCTTATAAATCTATACGATTTATTTTATTAGACATTTCTATTGAAATCAATCTCATAAAATTCAATATTTTGTTCTAAAGTGCAAAGCAGAAACAACTTTGTCGTACATGCAATTAGATCTTATTGCTGTATACCTGGAGAATATAAATTTTCAAATGTTGGAAGATTCACTTTATATTGCACATATGGATTCACTTTATATTGTACATATTGTACATTAAATGAACTTTTAAAATAACGTTACTTCATTGCAATGTGTATCAGGAACGATTCTCCAATAAAAGTTGTGTCCAGATAACTGTATCTCACTTCCATACTCAGTGACCGTGTAGTTTAGGGCAGCACCGCGAGAATTTCATCGGCATCAAAAGCAAGTTCATGACTTGCCTAGATAGCCGAGGGGTCTAGCGCGCTGTTCCTGTCCTGCTACAGACAGATTCCGCAGATCGAGAGTTCAACCCCTGGTTGGGGCGGGAGTGAATATCCTTATAAAGTGAATTTCTCTGTGCTTATATATATATATATATATATATATATATATATATATATATATATATATATATATATATTTACGGAATACTTTGTTTGCCTCGTTGAAAGTCAGTGAGTCAGGTCGACAGGGGATCCTTATTCCTTTATGGCACTTGATCCCACCTCTGGAATTTCAAGGGTCCCTATTTACCCTTCTCTTCTTTTTATTTTACTTTTATATTCATCACTTTGTGATCTTCATTTATTCATGAACCTAAGATTTAAACTTAAAAAAATATATATAACTTAGGTCACTGAATTGTTAGCTCTCAGTTTTCTATTTAAACTGAAAATCTTTTTTTCTGAGTTTTGTTGAAAGACAATGAGAAAATACGTAACATACAATATAATAAAAGGTAGTATGAATCAATTTTCATATATTTACACTCTGCGGTAATATGTGCAAGTAACCATAACAAATCAATAATTTGAAAATATACCCCCACGTCCATAAGTGCCATTTTGTGTATTTAACGTAAATTGACATTTAAATACACACTTAACACGCAGGCGTTACGAAAGTGGGATTGTTTTTGAAATGAGCGATCTACAGTGTGATAGTAAAATGACGAAGAATGATTAGAAAATACACGAATTAGTCTCATTAGAAAGTGTAACTATGATTTTTAATTATCTCTTCTTGTGTTCCTGTTTTCTTTTTAGATACAAACATCTATGCACACATAAATTTACAAACAAAAAATGAGTCTCCTATTCACTCTGTTGTAGCAGTGTATTACTTGATCTACTCGATTATTTACTACTAACCCCCATTTGTTTATTTATGCTCTAGTTTTCTTCGAAATAGTGCACTTTATCCATATTTTCTCTAGGTAAAGTTCAAAAAAGAATAAATCATTTCAAATGAAATCAAAGTTGCTAATTTTCAGACATATTTGAAATATAAGCACGGGTAACATGGGGGAATGGTATGAATCGGTCCAACTACAGCCATTTGTGCACCAGGTCAGTGGGCACAATGGTCTCTTCCGGTTTGATGACCAGACCGTGTGTAAACCATTAGATGTCAGAGAATACAACTTCTACATCACCATTCCGCACAACCTCAAACAGTTCACTGCAGAATTCAGAGGTAAAGATTTTATTCTCTCTCGCACCATTATTCATTGTACTAGTATATCAGTATAAAGTACATCTGGTATGTTTAATGTCCACTCCTAGTGATAAAGTACATCTGGTATGTTTATGTCCACTCCTAGTGATAAAGTACATCTGGTATGTTTAATGTCCACTCCTAGTGATAAAGTAAATCTGGTATGTTTAATGTCTACTCCTAGTAATTACTCTTCTATGATGAGGCTCATAGTAAGTAGTGGAACCAAACTACTCAGATTTTGCTTGAATACAGTTAATAAAAATCATCTTAATGATCTTTATGGCAATTTCTCGTCATTAAACACTAAGTCGCCCGGATGGCACAGTGGTTAGAGTCGCGGAGTAAGGAGTTGATCCTTACGTCGCAGGTTCGAATCCTACTGCGGACATGGAGACCGGTCCTTCGGATGAGACCGTATAAACCCAGGTCCCGTGTCGCAGTAGTGCTGGCACGAAAAAGATCACTCACTGCTCAATGGCCCTGAGTGCCGAGTGTAGGTCAAAAATTGTAGCCCTCCATCAGCAAGTGGTGGCGTCTCCATATGAGTGAAAAATTCTCGAGAGGGACATTAAAACAACAAACAATCAATCAATAATTAAACACTTATCTTCATATGCCTTTTTTAAATATCTTTTAAGAAACTATAGAGGGGGAGGTTTGTGAAGACAGTGAAGGACACGTGACGATCCTTTATCATCGTCCTTTGCTGAAGTCACCAATGCGTGAGGACCTCACTAGACAGAACCAAGAAACATTTGCTGGAAAAGAGGGCCAACATAGGTATATAATCAGAAAGCTAACTAAGGGCCAACATAGGTATATAATCAGACAGCTAACTAAGGGCCAACATATGTATATAATCAGACAGCTAACTAAGGGCCAACATAGGTATATAATCAGACAGCTAACTAAGGGCCAACATAGGTATATAATCAGAAAGCTAACTAAGGGCCAACATAGGTATATGATCAGACAGCTAACTAAGGGCCAACATAGGTATATAATCATACAGCTTACCAAGGGCCAACATAGGTATATAATCAGTAAGATAACTGAAGGTTCTAATAATAATTTTGAATGGGTCTTCCAATTTATATACAACTTGTAAATGATAAAGGATAATTTTCCCATTCTTATGTCGATACGATATATCCTGGTGAGCTTGAGACAAAAGATTTCACAGAGTCTGACACATCTGTTTCATATTTGGATATTTTACTTGAAAAAGACGTTAATGGTAATCTAACAACCAAGCTTTATGATAAACGTGATGACTTTAACTTTTCAATCGTCAACTTCCCTTACTTATGCAGCAATATACCTTCATCACCTGCATACGGGGTATATATCTCTCAGTTAATTCGATACGCAAGAGCATGCTCTACGTATGTACAATTTCTAAAACGAGGTAAATTATTGACAAACAAGTTGATGGAACAAGAATATCAGCTGTCTCGTTTAAAGTCATCATTTCGTAAGTTCTATGGTCGATACAATGACCTTGTCAGCAAATACAATTTATCATTGAGTCAAATGCTGACTGACGTTTTTCATACTAATTGTTAGGCCATTATTTACACACTGAATTGTCGACGGATTTTTCCGTTATTTACCGATCATGACAGGGAGCACATGGCGGGTGTGACCGGTCGGTAGGGGATGCTCACTCTTCCATGGCAACTGATCCCACCTCTGATGTTTGGAGGTCCATGTTTGCTCTGCTCCTATTTTGTATTGTTTAATGGACTTTTGAGCTTGAATACTGTTAGTTATCTCCATATATTTCATTTCATATTATTCGTGCGTGCAAATTGTTAGCACAAAAACTTAAAGACTGTACATTTTTAAAGAAAAAAATATTTCATTATTTATTTTGCATTCTAATTAGGACTTTTCATAGGATCATTTGTGTATGATTTATGGCTTATTTTTATTTTTCGGGTCTTTCGGATGATCGAGACCTTAAAAACCGAGCCCCCGCGTCACAGCATAGGCATTTTAATGGGTCACAAATGGGTGAAATAATTTCGTTAAGGACGTAAAACTACATCAATCAATTTTGCGTTTTCTGCAGAGCAGGAACCGAGAACTATATAATAACTTTATCACGAATCTGAATCCTGGTAGAATAATTCGCAAATAATGAAAACTACAGATGAAATATATGTTTCTTTGAGCATTATACAATTTAGTTTTTGCCATTTCGGTTTCCATTCAACTTGATAATAATAAAACCCTTTCTGTTTTTTAGTTTGCAGCTTTTAATGAATGGTAAAGTAGAAATGAATACTCAAACAGATCAGGCAGCAAACGCTCCAGACTCTGTCTATGATCTCAGACCAGAAACCCTAAACCCTTGGATTCCACGTTGTCACAAGAAGATGCTGTCAGGACTGAGGAAGACTAATCAGAGCTCTGATCTACACAGTAGTATCCTTCCTTATTTAAAGCATGGCAGACGACGTCTTCGTTGTTTACTAATCAAGCACATGCATTATATATGGCTGACATACTGCCGACTCGGCGTTAAACAAAAATCAATCAATCACATGTATTTAACTTAATAAATGTACATGCTTTTAACTTTGTGTCATGCAATGGTCCCTTTTAATTAAAAATAGAATGCTTTCTTTGCTTGTTAATGCGGGGATAACGATTGCGACATTGGAGAAAAAAATACAAAACCCGCATATAAAGTGGTTGAAAATATCATTTGAATGTTAAATATTTATTTATATACATGTAGCATAAATGATATGTAGATTATATATCAGATTTCTTTTGGATTGAAATCTGAAGCTGGAACAAATGAAAAAATAATCCTTAACAAACATGCCAGAGTTTATTCTGCTGGAGAATGTGGCAGCAAAGTTCTGTCACCCGAGTATTCTGGACCTAAAAATGGGAACTCGACAACATGGAGATCATGTCTCTCCAGAAAAGAAGGAAAAGGCTATGAAGATGTGTCAGAACACAACCTCCAGTAGTCTCGGGGTCAGGGTCGGTGGTATGCAGGTAATTGCAGCAGTTTTGAATCAATGTCGGTGTCATGTAGGTAATTACAGCAGCATTTGAATAAGGGTCGTTGACATGCAGGTAATTACAGCAGCATTTGAATAAGGGTCGTTGACATGCAGGTAATTACAGCAGCATTTGAATAAGGGTCGTTGACATGCGGTTATTACAGCATCATTTGATTCAGGGTCGTTGACATGTGGTAATTACAGCAGCATTTGATTCAGGGTCGTTGACATGCAGGTAATTACAGCAGCATTTGAATAAGGGTCGTTGACATGAGGTAATTACAGCAGCATTTGATTCAGGGTCGTTGACATGCAGGTAATTACAGCAGCATTTGAATAAGGGTCGTTGACATGAGGTAATTACAGCATCATTTGATTCAGGGTCGTTGACATGCAGGTAATTACAGCAGCATTTGAATAAGGGTCGTTGACATGCGGTTATTACAGCATCATTTGATTCAGGGTCGTTGACATGCAGGTAATTACAGCAGCATTTGAATAAGTGTCGTTTACATGAGGTAATTACAGCAGCATTTGATTCAGGGTCGTTGACATGCAGGTAATTACAGCAGCATTTGAATAAAGGTCGTTGACAAGCAGGTCATCAAAATCTTCAGAAATGAAATTGGTGAAGATAATGAACAGTGATCGATCTCAAAAGAAACTTACAAACGATACAAATTCTATGCAGCAAAATATATTAAAAAAACGGATAAATGAGAAGAAAACACTTGCTGTTGCCCTCAACACGTGTTATCAATTAATAATTGTTACTTCAATCCATATGTCGACTCGATATACCTCAGACACTATATAATGGCAAGCTAGGTGACTTCAGTTTTTCCATCGTCAGCTTTCCTTATTTACGCCGCTATCACTTGCATATGGTGTTTATTACTCCCATTCTATTCGATACTCATGAGCATGCTTTGTGTACGATCGATTTTTAAACTGAGGCGGGCAACTGACAAATAAGTTGATATTACAGGGATTATAACAATGTCGTTTAAAAGTCAACACTGTGTAAATTCTACGTTCGTTATAATTACCTTGTTAGTAAACACATCCTATATTTGGTCTTATTTTGACTAACATATTTCATATCTATGTTAGGCCTACATTAGACTACGTATTATTCCGCCTACCTGATAAATACATAGTAAAAAAAATATGAAGATCACAAACAGTAATCAAGTTAAAAAGTCCAGTGAAACAAAACAGATTTGGAGCAGAGCAAACACGGACCTCTAAAACATCAGAGATGGGATCACGTGATTTGGAGGAGTAAGCTTTCCTGTCTACCGGTCACACCCGCTGTTTGCTCCTTGTCATAATCGGGTGAATGGAAAAAAAATCTGTAGTCAATTTGGTTTGAAAATAATAATAAATTTGTATGAAAAAGTTAACATTCGACTTAACGATACATTGTATTTCCAACATAGAACTATTGTTAATTGATAAAACGTCGTCGATTGCTGAAAATCGAGTTAAAGATCTCAGCAAGTGTTTTCTTCTCAATAAATTCTGCTTCTATGTTGTCAATGAGGAATTCCGGCATCCTTAAACATTAACCTCAAAGAAATTATGTGTAGAATCAGTGTTTTTTTTAACAAAGTAATTTTGTGGGTGAGCAATCACAAGATAATAAAATTTCCAAGTTCCAATTTATTGAAGAAGTAGTACGTTGACTATCATATCATAACGGCTATTTTCTAATTCATCGTGAGAAATGGTTGTGTAAAGGGTAGAAAAGTCATACGTTTTGATGTGACTGACTATTGAGACCGTTCACGGTAGCTCAGTCGGTAGAGCGCTCGCTCCGTGATCGGGAGGTCGTGAGTTCGAATCTCGACCGCGACTGATCTAAGTCGATGAAAAATGGGTAGCAACTGTTCCTTCGCCATGCGTTCGGCACTTTGAAGTGAAAGTTGCGGGTCCTCCGGATGAGACCTTAAAAAACCGAAGCCCCGTTTCTCGACAGGCGTTAGCACGATATAGATCCCTCACTGCCTCAATGGCCCTGAGTGCCGAGTAACGGTCAAATTTTGAAGCCCTTCACCAGTATATGGTGAAGTCTCTATATGAGTGAAAAATTCTCGAATGAGACGTAAAACAACATACAATCAATCAATTTGACTATTAAAAAAATGTGATTTTTAAATTTTCGAAAAATTCTTTGGAGTTTTTGAGAATTAACATTTGATTCACACCACTCCTCTAATATGCTGCGTGATCGGAAGGTCGTGTGTTCGAACTACTGCTGCGACTGACCTAAGTCGGTAAAAAAATAGGTAGCAGCTGTTTCTTCGCCAAGCACTCGGCACTTCGAAGTAAAAGTTGCTTGTCTTTCGGATAAGACCTTAAAAATGGAGGCCCCTGTCACGGTAGGCGTTGGCACGATAAAGAACCCTCACTGCTCAAGTGCCGAGTAAAGGTCTAAATTTGAAGCCCTTCACCGGTAAATTGTGACGTCTCTATATGAGTGAAATTTTTTTTCGAACAGTACATAAAACAACATTCAGTCAATCAATCTAATATGCTGTAGCACACTAAGTTTTTTCTTTACAGCAGTTAATATTTAGTGAGGAGTAAAAATAGGGGCTTGGTAAGAGTAGTTGCTGGATCCGGCAATGTATCTTTGTAATGTAAGGATTTTTTTATGAAGTTTAGTAATCTATGTCGGGTAGATCGAACTCACTTTCATTGACTGGAATATTAAAAGATTTAAAGACTGAAATGTGATTTTGAAGAGTTTCATCCCCAGAAAGCGAACTGCGAGTATAAGTTGGATTTCCATATGCAGAATTAAAACCAAGTTCTTCTAAAATACAGATGTATTACATGTAATAAGCCTTACAATTAAATACAATATTGTTACAAGATATTTCTGCTGGAACCATAACATATTGTTCATGTAATCTTTCTAATTCCTTTAACACTTCCGATTTAGTGAAAACAGAAGGATATATGGTTCACACATTGTTTTTTTACTTTTCTAACACGATTCTTTAATATATTTCTTAAACACTCAGTCCATATGACAATGTGTTCAGGTCTTCCCCTTCATATTTCGTTTAGATTAATGGTTTTCATATTGTCTTTTAACTTTCTAACACGATTCTCTAATGTTTTTCTTAAACACTTAATCCATTCTGAAAAAGTGATGAGGTCTTTCCCTTCATATTTCGCCCATCGTCTGGCACAATCCTCGACATAATTCATAACAAAAATGTTCTGTCACCAATTTAAAGATCAGGGCTCCCTGGATTAAGGACCTTCAGAAATGATTGCTTTTAAGTCGTTATTTTCAACTATATTTTCATCATCATTGCACATTTATGTCGCATTATGTTGCCGGTAACGCTTAGAAAGTACTAGGTAGTACTTATTGTTTTGCTTGTAAAACACTTTTTGTGTACCAAGTAACACTGTACGTCTCTGTCAATGTAGAACTTGCTGTGTGAGAGTGTTACACATGGTACAAAAAGGCAATCATTGTTGCAAACTGTCCCTTGCATCAGAATTTCATATTACAATGCGTTTAACTTAACGTTTTCCTTTTAAAAAAATCAAACAATACATCTACGTTGTCTTTTAAGGTTTACCAAGAGAACAGTGATAAGTATACTTGTGTCAACAAAAAATACTGTCAAGGTCTGGGGGTCGATGGATTCATTAAAACCTTGCATCAGTTTCTTCACAACGGGTATGAGCTGAGAAAAGACCTGTTGGACCCAATTATTGGAAAACTCCAAGATCTTCACAGACAGGTCCTATCACTTGACACTTACCGATTTTACGCTAGTTCTCTCCTGATTTTGTATGACCAGCGTAGTGAAGAAGATGGTCCCAAGAAGGATTTGAGACAAGATAAAGTGTGTTCCCACAGCAGTCTTGTTGATGTTCGGATGATTGATTTTGGCCACTGCACCAAAAGTGGGTTTCTGGACGATGCCACTGCCCACAAAGGTCCAGACGAGGGCTACCTTTTAGGGTTGACGAACTTAATCAAAGTTTTTACTGACATGAAATGAACAGTCATTATTAAATAAATATTACATGTAGTTGAGTATAACATTGAAAATCTTCACCCCAAGAAAACCATTGTCAACCGAGGCGCAGCCGAGGTTGACAATGGTTTTCGAGAGATTAAAATTTTCATTGTTACACTAAACTACATTCAATATTTATTGTATTATACTGAGTGTTTTATACAAATACATATAACAGTGAACCTTGCGCGTATAAATTCTGTGCAGTCAATATTTTTTTTAGAATATCACCCGTCTCAAGCAATGTTGGCTGTTGCTACGCTGGATGGCGTGGCTTCATTTTTCAGCGGGTAAAAGTGTTTTTTAACAAATGTTCCTCGACGAATCAGATTCAACTAATTTACATGAAAGTATTATATATATTTTTATTATTATTAAAGGGGTGGCCCTGAAGGAGAGTTCCAAGACGGTTTTAGGAATGTGACTATGCGATGTGATATAATATTAATTAATATCATGATGATATTATTTATACAATTAATGCAATTTTATATATATATGCAATACAATATACTTTAAATATATGTTTAAAAAAGTAATATAAAATTTTGGCTGTACTGTTAAATATTAGACATATTTTAATTTGCTGCAATTATATTTAAGAGGGGATAAGCTTCTATACATATAATACATACAAACTTAGTTCAGGAGAATTCAAACTTAGCCTGTCTATAGTGTTTCCATAAGCACACATCATATAAACATTCTATTTTTGGAAAACAACTTTAATTTCACACGAAATCTTTAATTTCACATAAATAATAATTTGAACCATTTTTTAAAAAAAAAATAATGTACATTTTTATGATGCGTATGCAACTTTGGGTCTCCTTAACAGCAGTAGATGTTTATAGTATTGTATGCCAAGGAAGATCATTCGATTGTGCAATTTACCTACCGAAGGTAGACAAATAAATCTTAATATTTTTTGAAATATTTGGATTATTTTATCAAAGACATCCGTGATAAAAATATTAAACTTATAGTTTTATTTGCAAAGTACATGAACTTACATTAATTTTTAAAATTGGGAAAAATGAAGCGTACGAAATCACTATGCCCTAAAATCCAAGGGTGAAGAAAAAAGAAAAGAGAGTAACGACAAAATACGCGCATTGATACTTATATGTACAAGTTTGACCCTGGTAGGGTTTGCTAGTACTTGTAACGCAAAACCTGTACAAAAAAAATTGAAAAAACTTTTCTGTTTGGGATCGATTGTGAGGTGATAACCGACTCTTTGTATGGATTCATAGGGTATAGTATCATCTAACTTCATACACACTTTTATAAACAGGTAAACTCTCTCCCTGAACTATAAAAATATTTTATTTTAGCACAGGCTGCTTCCCCTAAATTTGGAATTGTTCTTATCAATCAAATAAAAAGGTCATCTGGCCATGCCTGGGCAACGAATCAATCATCTGCAAAACGCGTACACAGAGATACTGTCAACAGTGACAAATGTAGCATCTTGATTTTTGATAATTTAGGTGTTTTTTTTTTCCAAAAGCAAAACATTTCCCCAAAGGTATGTCTTTAATCGAAGGCCTCGTTACTAAAACATATCCATAAAATTAACAGATATGATGTGAACCTTCGATCAATACAGGAGGAACATTATCACAGACTGTACATGATTTAATTAGATAGAAGCATTCATCAAGAATATTAAAAAACATTTACCCTTTTCAGCTAGAAAGACAATTTCTGTGAAATGCAAAGGTAATTTAACTCCAGCTGCTAGATAGATCCATTAAATTAGGTATGAAGGATTTATTTCAATGGCGCCAACAAATAAATTCAGGATTTCGTGTATGTACGTATTCATATGGTACAATGTCATCCGACTTAAGGCACACTTTTCATAACAGGCGACAAGATTTCTTCTTCCTAAGTCATAGGAGCACTGTCCTTTTCGAATCCAGCGCCTTTACTGACTGCCTCATTTTCCTCTTCGTCAGAGAGAGCTGTTCCTACATCCTCGATTCCTTGCATTGACTGATATTTCTTTACAACCATTGGCCAATCAACTACATCTTCCAACCTAAGGGGCCCATTTGCATGATGTGAAACACGTAGAAATCCCCCTGTGAAAAATGCAAAGGTAGTTTTCAGATACTAGACATTTAAAAGAGATATTGAAGGTACAATATACATGTATACAGCAGTATGCACTAACCATCTGGAGCAACTTGAGTGTTTCTTCTGACAACATTTTTCAACCACCCCGCATTGTGAGCCAACAAATCCACAGAACGGGAGTCAGAAAACGCATCCACGTCGTCATCATCGCTGATGTAATCATCTGCGTGCACGTTACAGAGTTTCCCTGGAAAGAAGAGTTTCATTAAAATGATTTAATTTAATAGGAGAAAGGGAACTATGATAGACTTCACTCAAACAGCAAATTGGTCATGCAAAACTGAGTACATTACCTTTATGCTTATAAATGGCACGACAATATGTAAAAAGCTTTGTGAACAGATTCAGAGGAGAGGGAGTTGCTGATGTCTTGTTCATGTTACGAATGAGCTTAGCACGTCCGAATTTCCACTCCGTGTCTGACTGTTGCTGGATTCGCTGATACGTGTCTGACATCATTGCGATCAAAAGATTAATCAGTACTATCAAAGTCACCATCATATAAATTCCAAAGGTCACCTTGGCCATGTAAACAACCCAGACTGGACTCTGATTGGTCAGGGGAAGTCCATCAGGATCCACCAGACCAAACAGAGAAAAGAACAACAATCCAAATGACTCGATTAGTGTGAATTGTGCTACGGTTGCGTCTCCATTTCCAACTCCGAGGCCTTGGGTTGGGTCCACTGCTTTTGGTGCATATACTGGTTGATATATAGCAAGTAAATGCAACGTGAATCCAGCGATGAATATTAATAATATAACAAGAAATCGTGTCAGGTCTTTCAGTAAATCCCTTATAATGATGGCCCATGGACCAAAAAGATGATGGAAAGACAAAAAGTCTAACAATTGAACAAAACACATCAACAGAGCCCAGGCAAAGAAATAATTCCGGATGAAAATGAGCAACAGTCTCTCGTTTGTGTCAAAGGCAAAAGCCAACACGTGGCAAAATACCCCAATCGCACTAATGCCGATGGAAATTACTTTGACCCAACCTAGTCCTCCTCTGTCACCGGGATTTGTCAATTCAGACACAAGAAGTCCAGATAACCATGACAACAGGAGCCATTCATAGACGCTAGGGATCATGGAAGCAGACTGCCAGATGGGTGCACGTGGATACACAACAGTCAGAAGAAATAATAACATCAGGTAAAGGTGGCTAACGAGGTATGCCATGAATTTGATAATAGGAACACGATTGAACCGGTGACGCAAGGGCAACGAGAACATGAGCCAGATGATTGGAATGAGAAGAAAGGTCATGAAGACCATCACAATCTTCCAGGTGGCCCATTTTAAATTCCCCATCCATACATCTGTTAAGTATTTTTGGACTGCAGGATGTGACACGACCTCTTTCTGTTCATTTTCTATGAGAACATCTAGAAATGGCGTCCCGTTCCAATCAACAGCCTTCAGAATGTGCCCTGCACTGTTGGGACTGGCTGCAATAGCCAAGAGCTCTGTCGCCATGTTTTCACAATAATCCCCCGCAGATGTCAAATCACGTGACCTTTCCTTTTCCCTAACAGCCAGAATTCGGAAGTTGTTTGATAGTCTTGCAGCAGTGTCGACCGGAGCAGGTGATAACAGAATAAATTCCTCAATACATCTGTTGTGGTTATTTTTACCACAGACCATCAAGTCAAAAACAAACTGGAAATAAAAATTCAACTCTTTAACTAACACATGCATATTATTTTCAGAGAACACAAGTAAATGATAACTGAAAGTTAAACCCACTTTCCTACCTTTTTATCATCCATTAAATGATTCGTGTTGTGATCACGCCTCATTAGGAAACTAAGAACGTCTGAGTGATTGGCAGCAGCGGCGAAACAAATGGGAACCTTTCCATCCTTTGTTTCAAACTTAGGAGACGCACCACTCTCTGTAAGGAGCTTTACGACGTTTAGATATCCCGCTTTCGCCGAGAAATGGAGGGCAGTCCAGCCATTCTTGTCACAAGCATTTATATCTGCACCTTGACCCAACAATAACGCCACCATAAAGATATGGCCGTTTGCGGCTGCTAAATGGAGAGCTGTTCGTCCTCGTTTGTCTTTGATATGGAGTTGCGATGTTGATTTGCTTAGCAACAAGGAAACAACTGACGTGTGTCCGCCCTGTGCTGCTAAATGGAGTGGGATGGCGCCCTACATCGTGTGATGGAATTAACTATTATCGGATGTATTAAAAGGGCAAAATTTGAAAATGTATAACTATTTTTGATATAATTTTAGTATACCTGTAAATTTGTGGACACGTCTGCTTGAACGCCAGGTGAATTCAAGAGTAGACGAACCAAGCCCTCATGACCGGATTGTGCCGCCAGATGAAGCGGGGTCAAACCAGACTGGGGGTAACAATATTATAGAAAGGAATTCTTAAGCTAGTCAGTTAATTTTGTATAAAAAGTGTAAAATTTAGCTAAAATCAATTCTGCCAAATTACCTCCGCCCCGAGATCCTTCAGTCCAGAATCCCCTCCCCCAGGGTATTCACTCTTCACGGTGGCGGGAACTTTGGTCAACATTTCTCGTACGAAGTCGACTTGTCCATAATGTGCAGCGCAGTGAATTGCACTCAGACCAGTCTGCGAAGATTGATTAATGTACATTGTATTTAATTTCTCAGTTGATTAATTGCTCACAGAACATGTATTAAAACTCATCAATGTAATGGAATTATGGTTAATTTAAAGCATTCTAAATAAAAATGGAACTTATGTCATGCTCATCAACTAAAAGGATTCCATTCGATGTAAATTATACATTTAACACAGTTTCCGCAAACTCCTAAGTATGTTCAATTTTATGCCATAATTATTACCAGGATTTTATTGTGCT